CTTGGTTCGGTTCCGGCTCGTTAACTTATCGAACGAAATTAATGAGCCGAACACGAGCTGTTCGGAGCCGTTTTGACAGCCCTAAGAATATCAGTTTTTAAGGATGATTTACATATATACCACCCAATTCCTATGTATTAACATATCTAATGCCTAAAATTCAATTTTAACATATTTGCCACTTTACCTATTCATAAAAAGGTGTATTTTACTTTTTAAAAGTTAAAATGATATATTTTTTTTATTGGTGATATGAAAATTTTTGGTGTTATAAATGTAAAAAGTAAATTTAGGTGCTTGATATGTAAATACGTAGGAATTGGGTGGTGAGCATGTAAATGCCACTAAGTTAAAATATTTTGCGCTGTCCTAAAAATTGGCTTGATTCATGCCGGTTAAATAAAAATAATAAGGATATTTTTATGATATTTTATATTAGTTATCATTATATATTATTTATCCATCATTTATTAAATTCTAAAAAGAAATTATAAACGTTTATAACTTGTATATCGATTTTGACATTTTGCCTTTCTTTCATACGTAAAGGTCTAACATATCCTTAAAAATTATGAAAACCAAGGTCATAAAAATTTGATGGATCCTAGTTTGTCATTTACGAATCACACTCCGAAAGTTAGAGCCTAGTGAAGGAAAGAAGAGAAAGAGAGCAGAATAAGTCTAACATCTTTGTAGGAAGAATTGAGGGAAAATGTATTTTTATTCGTATTTTTGTCCCGTGCTTTTAGATGCATGTTTTTTATCGTTACAGAAATGAGGGAACAGTTATGGAAATCGTTCTTAATGTCGTTAAGATTCTAATTGATTGTATAAATTTTATATCATATTTGTATTACCATTTAAATTTTAGTATTGTCGGTAATTGACTGGTCGATTGGCTTGAAGTCAATCGATTGAGGCGACTCACAGAGTGACATTTGTGCCCTCTGGAGTATGCGATGATCGGTCAAGGAGTTCAACTGTATAGCGATCTTGCTCGACATCTTTTGGCACGGTTGACCAGAGCGGTCATTTGTGAGGTGGTCGTTCAGTTCAGATGCGGGGTTGGTCGGTCAAATGTGATCGGTCAGTTTTTTTTATAAAGAGTCATGTCACATTTTTTATTTAGCTTGAGTCTTACAAGACTCGTGTCACGCCTGCCTGGTTGGTTCGTCGTCTCGACCGGATCTCCAATCTTGTAAGATCTTAAGTGGACCTTATCGCAGCCTACGCTAGGCATCTGACGAGACTCGTTGTCGGTATGATTAACGTTTCACTTTCGACGGGTCTACTAAGCGGGGAACCATCTCCGGAGCTCGAACCTATCCCGTGTTTAGAGATGCGGCTTCATGTTCGGCCTTGAATTGTCGGTTGATTGCTTACCTCAAAAGGAGACCCTTTCATTTGGTGGTTTTATCCCTTCGAGATTCGTGTTGGTATTTTTGATATATACATTATTTATAAACAAATAATCTTATAAAAAAAATTCCATGCATGCCCTTTTTATGGAGATCGGAGACTATTAATCTCAATTGGTGCGTAATCTCACATGAATTTAGTGGAACGATTTAGGGTAAAAAGGGAATTTATTCTCTGCTAATCTCTTTAAATTAATTTTAATTATATAAATGCATGTTAAATATTATAAATAATTATTAAATGTCATGAAGAAAAATTCCTACTTGATATATCACAAAATAAATACATATATATTGTAGCATATAACATAAGCTTATTAATAAAATACACTAATTATTATATCCTCATTACGATGGGGACTTAATTGGTCTCCTTCAAGCTATCACGAGCCTAAATCATTGCAATTTCTACCTTTGTTTCAACTCTTATTCTCCCCAATTGGAGGAGAAGATTTTTGTAACTTTCTTACAACATTGTCAGTTATCTTCCTATTTTGAATCATAGATATAAGCTATAAAATAAATCAAACTTAAAATATGTATCTCATATAATATGTATATCTCTCTCTCTCTCTCTCTCTCTCTCTCTCTCTCTCTCTCTCTCTCTCTCTCTCTCTCTCTCTCTCTCTCTCTCTCTCGCTCACTCACAAAGATACAAAAACAAGCACGCACACATATACATATAAAAATATATATGTATATGTATATACATATGTGTGTGTGTGTATACACACACACATATATACATCCACATACATACATACATACATACATACATACATACATACATA